AACCACAATCTGACCAGTACTCCTCATATACTCTTTATCAGCTTTCAATCAAAATGACTGATTTCAAAAGGGATTATTTCATATAAATTAGTGTTGTCAAAAGTACCAGTACTATGGTACCAAGTCAAAACTAAAATATTGAAAACGTAACCCATTACCGGTTGATGAGCGTCTGCTTTCAAACGCTCTCATGAGCATTTGTGTGAGCGCCCTGCGTCAAAGGTTTCTATTTACAACGTGTTTCTGCAGCATTCAATCACAGACATGTTTGTTGAGCGTGTGAATGCAGTGACCAATCAGATGCGTTTAGGATAGAATCCACTCAATACACCAGAGTTTGTTCAGTGTCGCTATAACCAAAGTATAAACACAATGTAAATATGAGATTAATAGTGCAGCATAGACAGATTTTTGATTATAATGGAAGTTTTCAGTCAGTCGGTGACCTTGAAATACAGAGTTTTGGCATGAAACTCTAGATGGCGCAGTCCGATAGGTCTAACTCAATCTGACCTAATGACATCATCATCACATGGCAGCTGATTGGTTCTCTCCTGTATCGGTAGCCAATGAGCTTGCTGCTCAACATTCAAATATATGACTAGTGTTTGCCGTAGCAGTTGCAGCTTGCTTCAGAAACCCTCCACCTTCCCCAGCTTCACCTGTATAGATTTGCTACGAGGTGATTCATGTACGCTATATGGGGGTTATTCATATGTGTTATATTTGCAGCAGCAGTATTTCTTACATGCTCACAGCAGCATGTTGTGGATGTATTAGCAGTAGCAAGTCTCGGTACTTGCTCTGCCGCAGCAGCAGATCTATTCCACCAAGACCAAATACATTAGCATTGTCATGTACATTACCATGCCAATCCCTCCGAAAGCTGTCATGATAGAACTGTGGCTGAACTGAAGTGATATGAGCTTCATTGATTATAAAGCCCTTTTTTGCTTGGTTTCTGAGTATAACCCATTCATAATAAAAGTTATATTTTTATGCTGTAAAATAGATCTGTGCATTAAGTCTTGTAGTGTAAGTGCAATAGGCCTGCCACTTGTTCTGTGTAATGTGTTTCTTTGTTGTTGTATTATTTTCATTTGATCTTTTTAATGCAATGTTTGAAAAAAATCTAACAATATTTGAAGGATACATGTTTTAATGTACTATTTGATAGCATTAATAATGAACTAATTTGATGCAATATTTTTATTTTCAAACAGTTAAATAAAAAAAAAACACATAATTACAACAAAATGAAATACAGAATTCTGAGCATTAATATTTTTTAACTTGCTGTTAAGTGTTACCATCGTATGAACCTGTAAACACAGTTTCCCAACAAACGTCTGAAATCCTGTGCAGATATTGCTTAAAGGGGTCATATGATGCTGCTAAAAAGAACATTATTTTGTGTATTTGGAGTAATGAAATGTGTTTATGCGGTTTAAAGTAAAAAAAAACACATTATTTTCCACATAATGGAAATGTTATGCCCCTCACCATACTGTGTTGATGCCGTGTTCCGGCCGGAGCAACGACACAAAAACATGAAAACCCATTACAAACGAGGCATTTGTTGCATCCAGTGGGGACATAATTACTGATTATAATGACTTATACTGTCTTTTTACGCGTTGCGTTGCATCGTGCCGCGTAAACATAAAACCCTGTCTGTATTTGTGATCAAGAGAAATTACAAACAAGAAGTGCTACTCCACACTGCCCAAAACTCGCGTTTGAATCATCAGTGGCAAATGATAAAAGAAAACGTACTTACGTGAGTCAGAACTGCCAGCATTTTAGCCTCAAGCGTGAGACGGAAATGTTACGCCCCTCACATACTGTGATGGCGTGTCCCAGCCGGAGCACAAAAACATTAAAACCCATTACAAACGAGGCATTTGTTGCATCCAGTGGGGACATAATTACAGATTATAATGACTTATACTGTCTTTTTACGCATTGCGTTGCATCGTGCCGCGTAAACATAAAACCCTCTTTGTGTGAACATTTGGGCGGTGTTATGCAAATCTTCCCACATAGTGTGGTAGATATGTGGGGGCGTGAACGAACGAGCCGTTTTAGGGGGGTGTGGCTGACTCTTAACTTTTATAAAGAATATCTCTTTGGATTTGAGACTTTAGTCTTTGCAAATTTACAGATCTTCTTTATGCACCAAGAGCTTGTAACACTCCAAAGAGAAAGGAAAAAATGAAATCGCATCATATGACCCCTTTAATGCCAGCGAATCAGATTGCAGCAAGCATGACTGTTCCTGTTATAGCCACACAGATTAGTCTACTTTAATATTAGCATAAAGAACACAACTCATTCTTTAACTGTTTGGATAAGCAGCCAGCAACTTGATTTCAGCCTTTCAATGAGCGATTCACAAGAGGCTTTGAGATGGGGATTGTGTAAATATGAGTGGGTTGTGTGTGTTTCGCAGTGTGTAGGTTTTTGGCTTCGACATGCCTCACGACTGTGATTGACACATGAGCACAGCAGAACTTGAAGACGAGTCTGGTGTCTGTTCACGGTCTCTGCAGTGGAGCTATCACTGGTTCTGTTGCTCAGTGACCTGAACATGTGCTCCAGACATGAATGACTCCTCAGATCAGGAGACGCACGCTGAAGGATGAACCTGAGCTACATCTACAGACCAAAGATCACACAAGGATGGATTCTTTTTAATTGGGTCAGTCAGCAACTGCCCAAAACACCCTTACAATCTCACTTATTCAGAGTCACACAATGAGTGTTTTCCTCCACTGCCGCTGATGATGAAACGGCCTTCCACACTGTTGCTGAAAAGAATTGCGCAACTGAATGTTTTTCCCAATCTCAGATCGCTTGCATTAACCTGAGCATGTTTTCATCAGGTCAGATGGAGGCCTCGACACACCACCTGGGATCATGTGACACACAAATCTTCCAGTTATTGGTAGAAGGAACAGATCCATCTCATGTGCTGTCGGGATTCTCCGAACAGCTGACCAAACAGCGGCCTGATGGATTATTGGGAAAGCAACAATTACACAGCAAAAAAGCCCCAAACAAGAGGTGAACACAGAAAACAAAGACAAAAGCAGCTCTGTTCAACACTGAGAGCCGCTTATCTGTCCTGTAAGTGTTTTACTTCCTCTGCTAGGGCAAGACATGAGTCGATCAGCGTTTGTTTGGCTCTGAGGAAATGCAGGCATTTCAGCTTCAATGTCCACACTGTACCTCAGTAACTGAGGGATTTAAGAAAGGTTTAATAAAATACACAAGCAGAGCAAAGTAACACACAAGTTCTGTTTCAAATCTCTGTGAGCGGACTGCCTACATAGTGACTGAAGAAGATAAAACAATGACAAGAAAACTAGAATACGCTAGCAATGGGTCTCATTCACACCGAGCATGTGTACACACGAATGTTTTCATGGAGAAATCATGATTTACTAAAATATTTTCCTTCTAAAATTCATTCTAAATTTAAGAAAAATATAGGAACAGCTGAATGCACACATACGCAACTCTGGCCGGTCTTAATAATCTATATAATCTATAGGATAATATATGTTTCATCTCAGGATAATAGTTGTATACGGTAAAATGTATATTTCATCTTAAAATGAGTTCATCATATACAGTGAAAGAGTAAGAAAAGCTGTGTTAGACTAAAGCTCAAGCTGCGCGCATCTGTACAGCCGGCTAATGAGAGCTCTGTAAGCTGGGTCTGTATAAAAGGTGTTTTATCGTGTATGAACTGGTTTTGAGGACTGCGCTCTTTGCATTGCTCAAAGATCTGGTGAGAGCGCGTCTGTAGACAGCGAGCGTCATATGGTGTCGCGTGGAGGAGAGGCTGTAAGGAAACCCCATATATGGAGATGGTCTGGGCATCTTTAATGCAAATGACTGACCTTGTGCATGTGGCCACTGATTTAGAATACTCCACATTCACTAACATTAGGACGAGCTTAAGAACTAATTCATGTGCGTATGCAGGTGATGAGAATTAGGTGTAAAGTTTTCGTGAGAATTCCGAATGTGTGTATAAATACGAATAATCTACACAATTATTAGTACTCTAATAAGTACACAAATATTTGGGTAATTAAAATGAACCAATTTTTATTTATTTTCATTCATTTTACTGATAAACAGGGTATCAAATGAAATGTATTTCTTATTGAATGGCATGAATAATCAACATTTCTCTTGACTTGTCCACCATCTTGGATGATTTTTTGAGCATGTACAATGATCTGCTCTGATGGAGTCAGTGAGTCTTTGACGAAGCGTCTCATTAGGGTTATCTGTTGGTCAATCAGACTGCACTGGCTGCACTGCATGGCAATTTCTGTGTATGGCCCACGAGGACAACTCAATAGAAAGAGTTTTTTCTACCATTAATTTTTTTTCATCTCATCATTTGGACTCTAAATTCACAACTTGGATGAAATAAACTACACAATTATTAGTACTCTAATAAGTACACAAATATTTGGGTAATTAAAATGAACCAATTTTTATTTATTTTCATTCATTTTACTGATAAACAGGGTATCAAATGAAATGTATTTCTTATTGAATGGCATGAATAATCAACATTTCTCTTGACTTGTCCACCATCTTGGATGATTTTTTGAGCATGTACAATGATCTGCTCTGATGGAGTCAGTGAGTCTTTGACGAAGCGTCTCATTAGGGTTATCTGTTGGTCAATCAGACTGCACTGGCTGCACTGCATGGCAGTTTCTGTGTATGGCCCACGAGGACAACTCAATAGAAAGAGTTTTTTCTACCATAAATTTTTCTTAAATTTAAATCTCATCATTTGGACTCTAAATTCACAACTTGGATGAAATAAAATGCCTTGTCTTGGTGGTGTAGATCATGTAGCAGTAGCCCTACTGAAAAGCGGTTCAGGAAGCAATGCAAACAGTTTTGGTGATATGCAAACTCCCTGTCACGCTGACGGATCGCTCCTCCAGACGCAGTGCAGCTCTTACCTGAAACACAGCGTGTGCCAGTCCGTGTCCAGGGCCTGTAGGTACTGCTCATCATAGATGTGCTGTCTGCAGCCCGCACACTCCGGCAACCTGCCGCCGGCTGCAACAAACACAACACACTCGCATCAGCACACTGCACAGCTCATCCTAATATACAGCTCCATTTCTTACTGCAAACAGAAGTTGTGCATTAGCCACAGGCAAGACTGATGGTAGTTAGCCAATGCTGATCATTTCAAAATGCTTAAATATTAAATGATGAATTAGTCTAAACAATATATGGTTTTCCCTATTCCCAAAATTTCTCTTTTCCACTTATGGAAGTCAATGGGATCCGTCAACTGTTTGGTTACACACTAGGGTTGGGCCGATAGTCCATCGCCGATGGCTGACAGACTTCACGATGTTGAGCATCATGATTCCCCCCCCCCATATCCCACGTAATCCGGCCGCATCCCAATACCATGTTCGGAAAGTAAATGACGTGTACTACGGAACCCCTAAAGTTAATAAATACGTCCTTTTTAGTTTCACTTTCACTTTCGAGATTCGCAATCGCACATACGGTTTATACTTGGAGCGGCAGTACTTACCACACATTTTACAATATTAGATGTTTGTCAGTGGTGCTCAGGATCTGCAAATCATTCGCCATCGTCCTCAGTCATCTCTCCTTACTCTGTTTATGTGGTAAGTGAAATTTTATGTACTGTAATGTATAAGGCATTATGTAATGTAAATGTATAATGTAACCCCCCTCCCCCGATGTTTCACTGTAGACATCGGCCGATGCCAATTTTGTAGACATCACCCAACCTTATTACACACATTCTTCAAAATATCTTTTGTGTTCAACAGAAGAAAAACAGGTTTGGCGGAATTGGAGGGTGAGTAAAGGATTTTTCATGTTTGGGTGAACGATCCCTTTAACAGCATTTTGTTGTTATCTCTTGTCTATTTAAGTTATGTATTTCCATTTCACTGCCACTGTTAAAAATTCTAGTGAGAAAAATTCTAGCCTGAATAAAGCTTTATCAACAGAACTACACGTGAGCAACAGAGGCACATTGTTAATACACATAACCGGACACTACTGAGCCGGACGTACGTCATGCAGCTCAGTGCAGTCAGTTTCTGATGATCAGCAGCCGAATGTGTGGCAGTGCTGCCACTGTCAATGATATAAAAACACTGGAAACCTCATTTGACTGAACAATCCATAGTTCATAAATTATTAATTCTAATTACATCAACAGGAAAATCAATTTTGTTTCCGTTCTTACAAACACAGATCAACTCAACGTGCTAACAACAACCTCACTGTAAACATGCATGGAGAAACAAACTGAAGCAGATGCTGAGGTCCAGCCCGGGGTCGTCACATGTGGTTGACGCAAGCCTCCTTCGTTGAATCCACTGGCCACGCCGTTCTTAAGCCCGCCGCCTCTGCTCACTCTAGCCCTCCGGCCGTTCCACATGACCCCTTTAAAGGAGACCTATTATAACCCTTTTTACAAGATTTAATATAAGTCTCAGGTGTCCCCAGAAGGTGTTTGTGAAGTTTCAGCTCAATATACTCCACAGATAATTTATTATATCATTTTGAAAATGCCTATTTTGAGTGGAAGTAGAAACAGGCTGTTTTTCAGGCCTGGCTCTTTAAATGCAAATGAGCTGCTCCCCGCCCCCTTTTCCAGAATAGAGCTGCGCCATTACAGCTCCTACCTCAGATACTCTACCAAAAAAACATCTGTTTGGTTTTGATTACCATGTCTATCACACTAAATAAGTGCTCTTTCATGTCTTATTGTGCTTAAACTATGATATGCACACGTTTATGTTAAAAACACACGCAAGTTACAAAAACACTGTCGGTTATGTCTGTGAAGTTAAACAGCATGTTTATATTAGATCTGTGTGGCAGCAGCGTAATATACAGTATAGGGTTGTGACGGTGAGGAAATTTCCCCAACGGTTAATCGGCGTGTAACAACACCGGTAATACCGGTATCACTGTGGCGGTTCCCACTTTTTCTCACTTTTTCTCACTTTCCTTCGCTTTTAAATAGCTTGCAAAAGCGGGGTGCGCATTTTACTTTCACTTTCAAATTAGCGGCAATTCGGTGTAAAGCAATTGTTCGTTGTTAGTTTGTTTGAGTTTTCCCCATTTTCCTCGCTTTTCTTCACAATTAAATAGCTTAAAATCGCTGTGCACATTTTACTTTCACTTTCAAACTAGCGGCAATTCTGCGTTAATTCAAGCAACAACAAAATACAACTTCAAACTCAACTTAGCCTATATATAAATCATAGATCTTTTATTAACAAAATGAATCAAAATACACCATTCTATAGGCTATGCCTAATATAAAATAACAAATAACTTACACAAAGTTTAAATAGCCTAGGTATACAAAACTGAAAATCAGCAAACACTGTGGAACCAATTAAATAAGAAACTAATATTTAAAAAACTTCCAAAATGACCTTAGATAAATGGCAAAAGTCAACAGGCTTTTCAAAATACTGCCAAACAGGCGCTTTTGCATCTCGTTTAGAAACTAAATCATCCGCTATCGTCATGTCTGTCTCTCCTCACTCTTCTTGTCAGTCAGCTCACTCTCCTCACTGGATAAATTAAATCTGATCTGTAATGCGACTGTCGTTCGGCACGCTACATTGAGCAGCCGCGCTCAGTTTTTAATTGTAGTGTCTGCTCTCTAACTGAACTAAATGATTTTTATTACTATAAAAAAATCTAAATGACGGTGGGGGATGGTGCCACGAGTGAAGTAACCGGTGTTGCGGCTTAACACTGGTATCACCGCCAAAACTGTCTATCGCAGCAAGCCTAATACAGTGCTGTCTACACTGTTAATATGAGCCAAACAATAAAATAAAAACAGAAAACCACTGCTCTGCTTGACTGAATAACTTCTGTAGCTTTAATAAGAAGACATTTCTTACTTGAAAGATGCTTTTACGTAAACGCTCTAGTGTGAAGATAAACATGGCGGATTGTGTGCAGCTCACTCATGATTTATGGGGATTAAAAAAAGGAGCGGGTGGATTTTTATCATTATAGGGTGGTTGTGTACACACACTGCCAACACACATTTATGTTCAAACAACATGTAAAAGTGAATTTTGCATAATAGGCGCCCTGTAATAACACTGAACAAATTACAAACATGCTTCATGGGGGATTTTAGGTGAGGAGTGTCAGTCTTCAGCTTATGCATTTCTTTATAATGCTGTTAATACTGAATGATCAGATCTTTTCCACAGGAACAGGATATGATGCGGTGAATAATCAGGAATCAGACGTCGCTGTAGTTCATTCACAATCAACATGATCATGAGCAGCTGAGAAACGCTTCCCTGACAAACTCAGCCAACTTCTAATGGAAAACCTATCACTACAGCAGAGCTTCCAACACCCAGTCAAATAAACACTCAAGGCCTAAATAAATGATAATAACATTTGTCTTGAGCAAACAAACGGTCCTATATTCATCATAAGTGACATTTTGATCATTTGTGCCATGTGTCTCTTAGTGATCTGCTCTCTGCATGTGTGTGATTCATGTATAAACTGGAGGTGTGTATGGACTGTGACGGACTTGTGGCATCTGACAGATCCATGTGTCTGTCACACACACACACACACACACGTTGGTTTTTATGGTTTACGGGGACTCTCCATAGGCATAATGGTTTTTCTACTGTACAAACTGTATTTTATATCACCCTACACCAACCCAACCCTACAAAAAAAGACCATTTAGTATGTTTTTAAGCCTTTTGAATTACGGGGACACAGGCAGTGTCCTCATAAACCACCATCACTTGGTAATGCCTCTGTCATACCCATGTTAATATACAAATTTGTGTCCCCAAAAACCACCCAAACCAGTGCACACACACACACACACACAGAAAAAGTTCCCTGTAAAACCACACACACATTTACTTGAGTACATAACCTCACATGAGGGCAGATGGATACAGGAAGACCAGTGTGCCATTTTCCAGAATAACATCACATTAAATATGCAAAATATAAACTAAATACTAACATGGCACTTTGGACATGTTACACAGTAGTAATAAGTTTTTAACAAGTCTTTTGGAACAGCATGTCATTATGATACTATAATATATATTTTAAGTACTATAGTATCACAGTGTCACTGTACATTCCCAGACTTTCTGGCCCATGCATTTCCAGAACTTTCCTATGACTTTTCCAGTCATTCAAGTCAATAGATTTGTACTAATAGATTTAGCCTAAATGATTACATGCGTCTTCATTAAGCCTCTCAACAGACAGACTGAAGTTTCAGCAAGCTTTTACCTGGAAACACTAGATATTAGGTTTTTCGTGATGTGCTAAAAGCCATGGTACATATTCATAAACATGGTGTTGGTACATGATAATGGTATGCACCAGTGAAAGCCAACCAGCTCAGACCTTCCCTCTTTAAATCAGACAGCTGCTGAAGTGAACACAAGTGAACGGGATAGTTAGCAGCTGAGGAGACACTTGAGACCTAATGAGTGAATGTTTCCCGCAATATTGCAGCAGCAGTGAGCACACATGTGCTTCTTCACAGGTCACGCTATAGCAGCACAACACAGCACTGAGAGCAGACGCTGTTTGTGTCGCAGACAGCACCAGCATCCTCACGAGCCCTGCTGAAGATGCGCATCATCATCATCATCAGCAGCAGCAGCAGCAGTATACACAAGACACACTAACCTTCCTCCTCTCCCATGCGTTCGTCCTTCCAGGAGCAGCAGAGCAGCATCAACCTCATTCAAGCGCCGCGACAGAAGCTCCCCTCGGCGGTCAGACGCGCTGGAGAAACGCGGCGCTGGAACTGCGCTACTACGGCAAAGGCTTGCCTCGCCTCATGAATATTACACGCTTCACGTCGCGTCGCGTCACGCTGCTGTCTGATTAGCTGACGGCTTTGAGTCGGTAAGTAGGCGGGAGCTGCGGAAGGCTAAGCTTTCAGTGTAAGTTACGCGCCTGGGCGCTTCCCGGGCCTTTGCCATAGTGGGACTCCTGCAGACAGAAAGCGAGAAACCGGGCCAAATGAACACCATCCCTGGAAGACACTGGCGCGCATGCGCTTGCGCTGTCTCTCTGGAGCGAGGTCGTGTTTATTTGGATACTTTGTGACGCCGATTAAAAGAAAAGGAAGTAAAGTTTGATAGAGACAATAATGACAATATGCATTTGTTTTATTAATTAATATATGTAGGCCTATATATAAAAATATAAATTTAATTGGAAGTTACGATTATTTTATTTTTGTCTGGGAAAATGTCATATTTAAAAAAAAAAAAAAAAATCTAAATAGACTTGATAGAAAGAATGTAGCACCCGTTTAGAGATGTCATGAATACAAATTTTTAGATATTTTTGTTGTTTTTTTATGTTGTTGGGGAGTCACTAGTTACATGTAACATAATTAGGTAATTTAATTACAACATTAATGTAACTAATCTGTTACAGTTACTGAGATTAAAAAGTGTAATTAAGTTACAGTTACTTATGAAAATGTTAATGATTACAAAAGGGGGTTGCAATGTTTTCACACACATACAGATTTAATTGATTTCTTTCATAAATCGCATTGACTGCTCTAAAATATGAGACACCAATGTTTCAGGAGTTTAGGACACATGCTCATTCAATCACTTTTATTTCCTATTTGGGTTTATGTATATGCTTTATGTATTTATTTATTTTAAATTAACAGTTTTTCCAAGGCACTGTTAGATATCAGTGTTTCTGTCATAGCTGTGAAAAGATTTGATTTCAGAAACAGTATCATAGTCTGATTCTGTGGTGACTGTGCTTTAAAATTAAATGATTATAATCTTAATTTGAGTGATGACGGATAGTGAAAGTCTGACAGTAATCAGTGTTGTGTACTGTAATGTTACCCTGCCTGCTTTACATGCTTCAATATTATTAACAGTTGAAAACATTTGTAAGAATTTCAGAAAAGTAATCAAATGCAATCGGTTACATTGATAAAGTAATTGAAATAGTTACACTACTTATTACATTTTAAATAGGGTAACTTGTAATCTGTAACCTGTTACATTTCCAAAGTAACCTTATTCTCAACACTGGTTGTTTGGTGTGGTGTTTTATAGAAGGTCCAGTCCTTGATTAGAAATGGCTGGGCCTCTTTGGACACTGTTGTAAAATGCTCCGTAAACACACCCCTGTGACCTCATTACTTCAGTATTAGTGTTGCTGTGTGTTTATTTGATGAAATCTGTGTGTGGTAACTGTTTTATTAATGCATTAATCCACATGAAGCTGTGGTTTACAGTGATCTCAGAACAGTTTAAGACATGACCCAGCCTTCACATTCACGGTGTGTTTTTATCATTTTACACAATCATGCACACCAAGAATGCAGTTTTTAATTATTTAAAATATTTTATTTAATTTTTCACTAGAGCAGGTAAAATGCCGGGATTTCCGGGAACTAGTCAGAATATAGGTTGTGGAAAAGTGCAACAGCCCCGCCCCTTTATTTAAATAAGATGTAAATCCCACGGCACTATAGAGAAGAGCTGGTAGGGCTCACAGGCAGGTCAAATACAGCACCAGGTACATTACTGCATGATAAAGTGTCTCTCCAGATGGATCGAAAAACAGTATCAACCAAGTATAGCAAAAACTGACACATTATATGTTTGATAATACATTGGCTAGTGAGGCTCTTGGGGCACACACACACACACACATTGAGGAGATTTACATACATCACCTACACACACACACACATCTTAAAAAAGCACACACAGTTTTGCAAGTTCCACAGTGACTACATTGCAGAAGCTATTTAAAGTTATTTTCATATGATGTGTACAAACTCGATAATAGGTCAACATGTCAAGTTCAAATGGTGCAAAACAAACAACATAAGGCAAAGTAACCTGTTGTTAAATGATCCAACCTACGGTAAGCGTATGATATACATAAACTAATTCTATGTGAATACACAGCGATTAAAGAAGCACCTGTAGTCCCCGGGTCCAGGGAAAAACATAAGCATATCTTTTAATCTTCCAGGTTTAAACATACATAATGTACAAGTCAGAACAATGATTACTATTTTACACAGTTACTTTCAGTTTGTTCCCTTCACCGGACAGATACCAAAACAGATGATTGATGTTAGACGTAAGCTGTCATTCACTTCTGCTTGTTCTCAGCACTATCAGAGCAGAGCTCTTCATACTTCACACAGTGTGCAAGAGTGAATGCTGCGATCGATCGAGCCGCACGCTGTCGCTGTCAGACGTTCTGCCATCCACAAAGCTCTCTTAGCGTAATCTGTGTTTCTATGCCTGCAATACGCATTTATTATTGAGGCCTGTTTTTCAAGCGTCTCAAATCAGGAGATGAGATTCAAACTGAAGACACTCACTGATGCTTCACGAAAGCCTAAATCATCCAGAGGGGGTGAATCTCACAAAACATGTCACGGGTCACATTTCATCGCAAGAAATAAAAAGAAATTATATTGTCATGAAGAAAATGAAAATAACGTTAGAAACAAATTCACTACAAAAGTATTTATACATCATTGGAAGTATTACACTTTTTTGTATTACAGTGATGAGAATAAAATTTTACCATTGAGAATAATTGATCATTACAAAAGAAAAAAGTAAAAGCACCAAAATCATTAGAATTTGTGGAAAATGTGTTTAATTGAAAGAATCTGTGCTCTTAAAACAGGCTTAATTTTCTTTATGCAAAATATAATTTCTTTTTGTGTGTGTGTGTGTGTGTGAGAGAGAGAGTCACCCATAAAGCACTGTAATCTTAAGGCCCATCTGCACAGAAAGCTGCTGAAGGGTAAAAATAACAGGCAAACCCCTGAGCTGAAGCACAGCCAGATGTGAAGCATTTCAACCCGGAGTTTAATCAGCAGAATGACAGAATGACAGGACGCTTTCACTCACGAGTCGGCGAGGACGCTGGAAGATGTGAAAGAGTCTAGAGCGCCAGATCGTGACCGCGACGGAGCAAAAGAGCTTCGGATGGACTCAGAAACGCACACAAATAAGAGGTCGGTGGTTAAAACGTTTACAGCTACACAACAGCATTGCCAGCTAATCAACCCGGTTATATGCAACCCTACACTAGGAAACAGTAAGGTGATGGAATGTGCCATTAGAATTGGAATTATTTTCACAAAACACTAGACGGTTCGGGGATCTGAATTTGGATTTGTTACAAATACTTACGATCAGTACAAAACATAACACTTGTGCATGCTGGGATTGTTTGTTTGAGTATCAAAAGTACACTCTGGAGCATGCAGTAGCACCATGTTTCTTGAGGTCACTTCACATCTCAAGAGATCCTTTACTTTCTCCTCCTCCCGCAGTATTTTCCTTGGCAGCCGGCTCCACCTGCAGAACAACACCTCATCATACATGAAATACTATAGCATCTCTTCATTTGTGTGAATGAAGATAAATGAAAGTCAGCTGGGTTTGAAATGGCATGAGGGTGATGACAGTTTTCATTTTTGGGTGAGCTATCCCTTGAAACGTGAAATGACAAGTTTGACAAGTTCAACAAGAAAAAAGAAAAAAACATTCTATCCATCAGAAATTCGCCTGATTCATGTCAGAATGGAGTCTGCACTCAATGCGGAGAGATCCTCCAGAGCATCTCGACTGCTTTATGACGTCTACCAGTCCGGCTCTGTTTTATAAATGCACATATGCTCATGTAAATCCAAACTTCAGAAGAAGTAGGCCAGTGTTTGGTGTGATTTAGGATCAGGACGTTTAGTTGAGGACATCAGAAATGAGAGCAGTGATTATGAGAAATCAGTGATTATGTGGCGGCAGGATTAATCTCGTACCTCGATAACCTGCTCCCAGGAATCCCGTCAGTCCACCTCCATATTTGGCTGCTTTTGCTGAGGAAAGAAGTACACATGAAATACACATTAAACAAGAACATACAGTAAATATAAATGTAATGCTGGATGTGTTAATACTGGTAATCTTATAAATTCACATGTACCATCAAAAAAGTTAGCAGTAACTGTACAGTTTCAGAACTGATTTACAGGTATTTCTGCTGTAGATGCCCCATATTTGTAATGAATGCGCAAAGCTATTGTATGAGCTCAGAGTGTTTGGAATACAGTGTCTGAGCTGTATGGACCACCTTTATGATATTCATTTTACTTTCAATTAGCAGCTTGGAGATTCTTCATTAGTCTAATTCATCCCTTTATTGAATATATATATATATACTTCAGAGTTAAAGAGACTGAATGAGCTCAACAGCTAGAGCTGAATCTTCCAGTGATGTTGTAAGGGTTTTAAGAGCGTTTACCTTGTTGTGGTGACAGTCCTGCTCCATATCCCCCTAAAACACAAGAAATCATTGCATTATTATGAGCTGTTCAAACCACATGAGTGACTGAGTGAAACGTGGCGTTGTGTCTAATTAAGTAAAGCGAAGAATAACTGTGTGAAATAGATGCCAATAGGAACTTTGAGTAAGCCAACAGACAGCGTCAGGATTACTGTTTATTCCAGCAGGAGATTTATGACCAGCTGTGACCAAGAGCATCTGGACGGAGATAATAATAAACCCACCGAGCAGCTCTACGTTGTGATTATATAATAACTAACACATAATAGCGTGTGGTATGACAGCAGCTTGAGCGTGAGTATTAGCAAGCACCGAGACTCACATTATAGTCAGAATGCAAATACACTTTGCATGATATTTGCACTTCAAGCCGACGCTCTTCATAGCAAGCGGATTTCAGCAGTCAACGTGTCTTTCCATAGTGATCAGTGACGCTTTTCAGCGTATTGTCTGTCAGGATATGTTGTTTAGAGGGATCTTATGAGTTTTTTTCCCCTTCTGTTTGTGCATGAAAAAGATCTGCACGTTTACAAAGCACAGTCACTCCAAAGTCGTTCTCTACGTATATTAGTAAGCACTGTTTCTGAACTCCCTCAAACATCTCGACTGTAGTCCTGAGTTTTCTCATCACAGTATCCCACCTTTAAATAAATCCCACCCAAGGCATATGCTAAAAAACTAAAGCGGGCAAGGCCTGGTTGAATTACGTTAGTAGTGTGTTGTCGCCATTTCACAGATCTAATATACTGATACACATGAAGCTGTTTATGTTCACAGACATAACCGACTGTGTTTATGTGTTTTCACATAACCTTGCATGTTTTTGACAGCTGATGCAAAAGAGACGGCTTTCTGTGTGCTCAAACAAACTGCATATCAGAAGTTTAAACTGACAACGCATGCAAGGAATAAACGATGATGACAAAGAACTGCAATATGCATATATGATAATAAAAAAACAGATGTTTTGATTATTGCCACTGAGCCACAAGCTCCGCCCTCTTCTGGAAAGGGGGTCGGGGAGCAGCAGCTCATTTGCATTTAAAGAGAAACACACAAAAACAGCATATTTGTGCTTCCACCCAAAAAATGGCCATTTACAACATTGAATAATAATTGTTCTGTGGTGTATTTTGAGCTGAAGCTTCACAGACACTTTCTGGGAACACTTGAGACATCTTATCAAACGTAGAATGCCCCTCAGAATGGGAAATTAACTACAGAGGGGCTGAATTCTATAAGGAGATACAATATGAATTTAGCCTTGGATTATTTCTATAAAATGATACCTGGATATGCTTGTGGATATCCTCCATATCCTCCTGGAGCTACACCACCTGTAGGAAGAAAAGACAAAAAGATTTAGATCTCTAACTCAGTTCATCTAAAACAGCATTTGTCAATAAACAGGATTAGTATTCATTATAACTTGTAATCTAATTATAAAGGCTTTAGTATCTTGGCAAATTAAAGCACAGATTGAGATCACTCCGATCTCTTCTGAAATGCCAATGGACACAAATTTAAGAGTAATTTAGTCTTTTTCTCAGTAGAAACATCTTTTTTTGTGACTGTGTTGTGAATACAGCAAGTATTCTGGCAGATGGTTTTGGCTGGGTTTACTGTGTATCTGCATAAGCAGAGAAGCCAATTGAGGAAGATGTTCTGAAAGGACAGTGCTTGAGAGAACACAGTGACATCAAATCATTGCTCACAGGACCAATACAAACCCATGATCTCAGGCTCACTGCATTGTGTGTGTGAGAGTGATTACACAAGTGTGTTACTGCTATGAGTGTGAATGTACATGTGTCGTGGGCAGGACAGAGGGGCTAGGCTGTCTGCTCGACTGGGGGATTCTGGTTTCGAGAGAGTACCAGCATGTCAAAAGACCGAATGATCCAAAACAATCATTCCTGTTACTGTTAACAGAGTCACACATAATTGGCAGAGCTCAGCACCAGTAAAGGCCCACTTTGAGCACCACTTCTATAACACCTCTCCTCATTTTACATTAAAATTTGTCTATTGCACAAACATATAGACATATATTCAAGAACATGTGTAGATGCCAATTAAGATCTGCGTGAAGCAATCATTCTTTGTAGAGTTAATGCTGGGCCTCACCTGGCTGTGCGTATCCTGTACCCAAAGAGCCGTAGCCTGTTGATAGAGTTAGATGTTAAACACTCAGCACAATCACAGCTCACACAATTTAGAGGAAGAAAACAAAAACCCACAATGAATATTTTGTACTTGTTAAATGCATTTCCCTATATCCTCTGCAATTCCAGTTAATTGAAGCTTCAGTGTTAATCTATGGCCATGGGGAGTGCATTTGTTCTTGGGGAAAATCTTTGAAAATGAATTTGGCAATGCTTTTGAAGCACAGTGTGGCGTCGTGTTGCAGAACATGAATATTTTGTATGCTTTCTTTTGCTACCTGGTTTAGGTGGTTTAGCACCAGCTCCAACACCAACACCTGCTGGATACCCTCCACCTGCAACAAGATGATCTGTGTCTTTAACAATAGCCCAGTAACACAAGGAACACTATTTCAATAGTATGTTCAGTATTTTGACAGAAAATGGTGTGTGTCATGTTACAGAGTCAGGGCTGTCCTTGTAGAGGACATCACAACTCATGATCATGATCAACACTCTGCATTACAGGATCTGCACTCCCTGCTATCCTTTGGAGTATCTTAAAGGGAAGTTTAAATTACACTGGCTATCCTTTGGGACTGGGGTACTTCAGGGTTCGATGCTTGGCCCCCTCCTCTTCCCGATATACACAACATGGAGAAAAACTTTGCAGGACTGATGTTGGCCACCCCTGTAGTGCAGTAAAATCACAACCTTCCTATCTGAGCAAATGATGCCTAATATAGTGGCATATTTGGTTTTCAATCTTACACCTCTGTTTAAGACGGCACATCCTAGGCACTGATATTTCGATCAGGTTCTGAAGCACCCTCCTATCTTCACTAACAAACTGCAAATCCTCCCTACAGAAGTCTACATATAGACAGCCCAGCGCCTTCATAACTTCTAGAAAAATGTAAAAACCTGGACCCTTCCAAAAGCATTTGACTCACAACTGTTAATGCACTTGGCATACATTTTTATTCAAAGTGATATATATTGCATTGAAAACATGCATTTTTTTCAGTTTATGTATTCCCTGGGAAGCTGTGACCTTAGTATTGTACTTTTAGTACTTCTCAAGCTACAGGAACACTGCTAAAGGATCAAGTATCAAGTCATTTAGTATTGCATTACATCTCACCTGCTCCAGGTACGAGTCCTGCCCCTCCAACTCCCCCTACACCAATAATTAATGTGATCTTATATATATATATATATATATATATACACATACACACAGTATATGGTAATCAGCATTTTCTGATTAAATGCATGCACGTTTACATGCACATTCTGTTACAATGGATCTTGTGAATTCTGAAGGTCTTTACATTAACTAAAATTTCACGCAACTGGGATATAATTTTATATCTGCTTATAGCAGTCAATTTAAGATTTTGACCAATTAATTCCAATATCTGAATATCTTAGTCTATGTGAACTTCGTTATTGATGCCTGAGTAATCTGTAGCAAAGGTAGTTATATGGATATATTTCAGATGTGGCCAAAGTTGGTCCTGGAGAGCCACAGTCCTGCAGAGTTTTGCTCCAACCTGGATAAAAACTCACCTGCCTGCAGCTTTCTAATAACTATTAGACCTTGATTAGCTTGTTTAGGTGTGTTTGATTAAGGTTGGAGTGAAACTCTGCAGGACTGTGGCTCTCCAGGGCCGATGTTGGCCACCCCTGGTACAGTATATATGATCTTACCAGGGGCTTTCAGAGGTTTGGCTCCAGGTAACACACCAGTTCCAATTCCAGCTGCTCCAGTGCCACCAGGAAATGGGCCTAAAACAACAGGACGAAGAAACATTCAGCATGATTTTGACTTTGGTAAGTTTTTAATGTGTTTTTGTCTTTAATGATGGACTGATCATATTTACCATATCCATATGGGTAAACCCCACCAGGACCTGTAAACACAAAACTGTACTTTACACTATAGTCAAATATATAGGTGCCTATCAAAATGTTTATTTGTTTGTTTATCGTTTCTGTGTAAACTGTATAGAGCAGTGCTTAGCTTTGGGTGCATGTGCATATTTGTTACACTTTTCATATGACAGAACTTACACTTCCTGAGCTTTACCCAGTGGGAGATTGTATACAATTCTGTTTCGTCATAGGACTATATTTATCTGTTACAACTATGTTTGCTGAGTGTATACATCAGGACTTTTTTACCCTTACACTGAAAGTATTGTGGAGGATGATACTTAATATCAGAGGCATCATGGTACTCTAGACTGCATTATGACATATTCATATATTTACACAGTACAAAATATAGCATAGTTTTACCATAGTGACTTTTATGGTGATTATTATTATTATTTTTAAATATTCCCTTGAAATCACTTAGATGATATGAGGACAGAGAACTTTGTCACAAGGGATTTTACCCTGCCCCCAAGTGGTACAACTAAGTAATGCACATTTAAAATATTACCATGGATTATTTTCTGAACATTTTGCCCTTTCCCTGTAGAGACTGTAAACAACTATAGAGCTTTGGACTGTGAATTTGGTCTTTGATTCTTTTTTTTTTTTTTTTTTTTAAATGGGGTGATTCCAAAGTAAATGGGGCAAATGTCAAGTTAGTCAGGAAGTAGCTGGGTTTTGACAGGAAATGACAACACCATGGTAAAGGAAGCCTATTCAACTTCTCTCACAGCTCAGGATGAATGATATATCTGAACGCCAGGACATATAATTCTAGGTAAGTCACACCTCCAGTGTCTAATGTTGTATATTGAGGACTTACCAACTTCAGGTTTACACAGTAAAATCCCGAGTGTTAAATGAACACTGCTCAGAGCATATATGGTCCCACTCTAAAAGAGTGTGAAAGTTAATGAGATAATTATGTCATTAATTAAGTGCTGATTGATCATTAGTGATGAACAGCTGCTGACTCTGCGGACCCGAATACGGGTCCAAATCGGGAACTCTGACACCGTTGCGTCACCACGGTGGGCCAGAGAGAGGGGGGTCTCCATCCGGTCGGTCAGTCTCTGGATGTTGTAGTTCGTGAACGCGAGAATTGAGGCTTTTCTCCGCACGGAAGAGTTGTAGCGAACTCGACTCGGATCATATTAGTCTATGATTATCAAATTACAAGTTATATATGATGAAGAACGGTCAGCCTTGCCGTGGAGAGGACTGGGCGCGCGTCTGGGGAGACTTTAGGAACGGAATCCAGCGCGTCAGGGGATAATGGCTCTCTATCTCATTCCAGCGCGAATTGAGCCCTTCTGATGTTATAAAGATCTGCGGTCAGTTCTGGGCTGCAATTGGTCAGATTATATGTCACTCAGATCGGCCATTACAGACTCTGGGAACTCTGACACCGTTGCGTCACCACGGTGGGCCAGAGAGAGGGGGGTCTCCATCCGGTCGGTCAGCCAGTGGTCTCTGGATGTTGTAGTTCGTGAACGCGAGAATTGAGGCTTTTCTCCGCACGGAAGAGTTGTAGCGAACTCGACTCGGATCATATAGAATTAACAGAGATTTAGATGTTAATGTTTATTGAAAATAATAAAATTTGAAGTCACCGTTGTGGAGATAAATGTTTGCTTTAGTTGGGCTCTTGACCCTTGACTTTTTAACATTAGTTTTTTTCTGGTTGCTGTAATTGTGTTTATGACAAGAGCTACCACGAGAAAATATGTTCAGATTATATTGGCCATTTTTTTGATTATGACATTGTTGTCATGTAGTAGCTAAGTTCAGTGATGTCACCAGTGGTAATGTGTAATATAGTTTGTTACTGATAACAACTGTATTTTAATGAAATAATAGGTAGAGCTTTAAAAGCACTTTGCACACCAGTTTAGAACGTCTGTACTGTTTAGACACACAGACATCAAGAATCTGCTGAGATTCACATGCTGATTCTTCATGTCTATGAGTGCCAGCATTGAAACCTCTTTATGAACCATATTTATAAAAGTAGTTTAAGAAGGTTTTTCTCACATTGTTATCTCGTATAACTGCCAAAATATAGAAAGCATAAAAGCACTACAGCTTTAGATAAATTTCCATCAGGGACTCAGACACATGACATGATTTTACCATAAGGTCCTTGCCATCACGTATGTGCTTAACACACACAATTGTGCCAGCCAAAGAGAATCTTAAATTTAACTTTAACACTGCTTCAGTGTTAATTTAACACTCTGGATTTTACTGTGTATCAGCGTACATCTACAGTCAGATGAATGCACAAACACAGCCCAACAATGAATACAACCCCTAGTGTGTCCAGCAGTGACCCCATCTGGGTCATTCTCAGGAAACGGTATCTTTTGAGCCCCATGATGACTGAGTGATATAATAACAATCGCAGATTATAAGGTTTTGATAGATCTAATCTCATTAATCTCATACAGTAATATTATCCGTAAGAGTTGCCATTTTATCGTCTGAACCTCAAAGTCAGTCTCCCCTCGAAAGGAACCTCAAAACCAATCTAAATATACTGTATGTCTCCCTGTCTTTCAACTAAAAATAACAAAAACAACAAAACCTAGACAAGCTAGACAAGATATTTGAGCATCATTGGCACATGTCTGATATAAAACCATCTGAGATCATTGCTACTGAAATCTTGCTACCTTCTAAGATACTTAATTTTAGCCAGATTGACTCCACTATCTCCACTAGTTATGGCTAGCTATCTCTCACCTGCCTCAGCAATAGTCCTGGAGATGACCGGCATTACCATCCAGACAGCGTAGAGCTACATCTAGATGGGTTGGTAAAGCCTATGTCGAGGCTGGTTAGGCTAGTGCATCCCTGCACACCATGGCGGAATTGCTCAGGGAAATAGATGGAGGAGTGGGCTGAACCCTTGAGGCAGTTCAAGAGCTACATTGGCCCGCAGACCTTGCCCTCCATGCCACCAAGTTGATGACCAGATGTACTAGTCGTTCAATGGCAAGCCCATTGGGGCGCTCATTCTCCCACAGGGTTTTGCTAAACCTGCCACATCTAGTGCATTGGGAGGCAGCAGATTGTAGTTAACTTTTTGACCATTCTCTGCAAAACACCATTGCTGTATGTGATTGTTAGAGGGGTTTCAATACACAGTTTTGCAGTTTTGTAAATGTTTGGGAGGCACCGTTTTTAGCACAAGAAGTGCTATCTCTTTTGAGCAATGAGTCCAGCTTCTGTAGCCACTATTCTGTATGCTTTTCCCTGATAGTACTGCTCCTGGGAGTTCTAGCAAGTGTAAGGCAGAATGGAGTAGGCCTATTGCTCATAGCCCTGTGCTGGCCGGCCCGAGAGTGGTTCTCGGGCCTAATATTCCTCCTGGTAGGCCCTCCATGGGAGATTGCTGTCTCAACTGCAGGGCTTAGTTCAATACCCCTGGCCTGAGCCGTTAAAGTTATGAGTTTGGTCTTTGAGGGGAGCCCAATATTAAATTCTGGTCAATTCTAGTCATTTTTTTTTAATTGTTAAGGCTCCCTCTACTAGGAAAGTATATGCTCTGAAGTGGCAGCCTTTCACATCATAGTGTAAGCAGCATCATTTGGATCCAGTCCACTGCCTGGAATTTTTCCAAGAGAATCTTTCCGCATGTGCAGATCGACAGTACTTCATTGGGGAGATACTCCCTAATTTCCCATGGTTTACATGGGATCAGATGGCTGAGGCCTTTCTGCCCAGCGAGAGCTCCTTCTTGGACCTATCCTAGAAAGGTTTATCGGACCCTCTTTTGAGCCTCAAGAGTCAGTGTCTGAGGATTGTCCTAGGGCAGGTGTACTGAATCCTGTTCCTGGAGATCTGCCTACCTGCAGAGTTCAGTTCCAACCCTGCTCCAACACACTTGTCTGTAATTATCAAGTCCATTTTGCAGAATGCAATAATTGGTATATAGTTCCCCATGGTGTCAACTCATGACGCATCGTTGAATTCTTATTTCCTGAGTAGGGAATGAGATGCTGCGTCTCATTGCCATACTTCAGGCAGGCCCGTGCATCTTCCTTCAGATAATCTGAGGACGTGATATTTGAGATGGCCTTTTATGATGTAGGTGATGCAGTGCACTATGTCAGCTGACCTCTTCGTCGGCCAATGGTGTGATTGCACGCATTCTTCAGACACTGTCATGCCGAGGGCATTCCCCATAGTGTTATCGCATGATACAGCATTTTGTTCCCTACTCAGGGAACCAGGGTTACATATGTAACATTTTGTATAAGGCACAAATTAAGGGGATGCTATTGAGTAAATGTTTATTCTTTATTTCAATAAAGGTTTGGTCTATGAAATAATGGATATGCTTCATTTTGAAATAACTGTAATTCTGACCCCAATTCAATAACCATTATTTGTCTGTACTGTAACTGTTTGCAGAAAATTGTTGCAAAAATCTGTACATTATTTGAATGAGCTACTACTTTCTTTCTTTGGCAACAAACTGAAATGTAATTAAGAGTGCATAGAGATTGCTCATTTATCAAACAGAATCGGTTTTGTATTTACCCGGTACAGCAGTCCCTGCAGGAGCCAGCGTTGGAAGCTTTGCTGTGGAACAAACACATTAGTTCAAATCAAGCATGACATACTATGTGCTTCATGGCATTTGGTGGACTAAGCCTATTTGTTGTACCTGGTTTTCCACTTGGTGCAAAGGGCAGACCAGTACCTCCAGGAACACCGATGCCTGTGCCACCCGGTACAACCACCACGTCACCACCAGGTGTTGCTCCAGGAGCTGCTATTCCAGTTCCAGTGATCCCAGTGCCTAGCAGACAATGGGAAGAAGTGCATCAGGTGGAATCCATTATGCTGCATTACCTTATTAAAAGGCAGGTAAACACAGGTTTAAATGAAGCAGCTTGTTATGAAATATATGAAGCTAATATATGAACTACTGTACCAGTTTTAGGAGGTTTGACTCCACCAGGATATCCTGAAAACATTAAAATGAGTCTTATTGATTGCTGGTGATTATTATCTCACATTGATAGTGACCTGATCATGGGTCAGTTGAATCAAGTACCTCCAACCCCGGCTCCTGGTGTCAGTCCCGTCCCAGTTCCAGGCAGTGGCGCTCCTGCTGCACCAGGTACTGTACCTGCACCTCCTGCAACTCCTGCAGGCAACCCATGTCACCATTCATATCGTTACCACATAGTTTGCACTAACATCTCCTTTACTACAGTTTATTATGATTCTTTTGAAAAAATGTACAGGCAGCTGCTATGGCTAGTAATTTTGGTAACACTTTAGATTAGGGGACACATATTCACTATTAAATATTAAGAGTTTTCCCTCAATAAACTTTTAATTTGCTGCTTATTGGGAGTAAGTAATGTAGTTGTTGTAATAGTTATGTTTAGGTATGGGGTAGGGTTAAGGGATCTAGAATATGGACATGCATTAATATGTGCTTTATAGCTACTAATAAACAGTCAATATACAAGTAATAGGCATGCTAATAAGCAACTAGTTAGATAATTATGTTCCCTAATCTAAAGTGTTATCGTAATTTTATTGTAATCAAAAGAACGGTCAGTATTTTCTATTAAATGTTCATAATTTTGCTGGTCAACAAACAAATGTTTTATTTTTTTCTATAATCAAATTTATGTATTGAAGTTCATAAAAATACTGTAATAAAGATATTGGCATTATGTAATTGGGGTATATTTTCACGAATGGTTACTTGCATATCTACATACTTCTTTAATATGAAATAAATAAGTAAAAAAAAAATGTTATTTACTCCAAATAGACAGTGTCCTAAACTACTCATATTTATATCAGGAGTAGGCTGTACACCTCGAGTGAATATGATTTCAGACGTTTTTCAAAAGTGCAATTCATTTGTTTTGGTGTAAACATTTAATAAGTATAAAAAACCTAAATATAAAATCTTAAAATACCTACAAAATGTTCTCTCACCATATTTCGGAGGTTTAACTCCTGCTGGATACCCTGCAATACCATAAATTCATTTTAGAGAATTAATCTTTTAATTCACAATTTATGACTCATATTGCTTAATTGTTATGAGAATTTAGTCAAATTTAAATCTTTTAAATTTAAGACTTTTAGGATTTAAGCACAAGTGAACTGTAATTTTAATGTCTTGAATAAATGGCGCAACTGTATATATAATAAAAATACCTCCAGGTACACCTCCGGGTACTCCACCGGGAACACCTGCCCATGGATGAGATTTGTCATTAAAATCACGATGAAACAGAAATAGTGACAGATCTGTATTTCCGTAATGCACATCCAAGTGTAGTGGACTATAATAAAACAGAGCGTGGTTTGGTTCTATGCCTTGGTTGTTGATTGGATGTTGATCAGGAGTTTAAGAGAAATCCTGCATACGTCGCTAGAGAAAATCCTGGTCCTAGGAACCTACTGCTCTAAACATTTTGCATGTCTTTTTTTTATCTGACACATTCAGTTCAGTTCATGGAACTCTCTCCTAATGAGATGATGATCAGAATCAGTTTTTCATTAACGAAGACATAAAAAATTTTCAGATTGGTGGGTCTGAATTGGAGTTATGACATTTTGATTAAAAATTTAATCAATTTTGTTTTCAATTTGAGAATTTCAATCATTCATAATAAGTCTATAACTTGCATTTATAAAAACAAATTTTCATTTCATGCCAACATTTATTTCAGTTTAGAGCAGGGGTAGGCAAGAGTTTAGTGCCAACCAAACACACCTTAACTAGTTAATCAGGGTGTTCAGGATTATTGGAAAATAACTGGCAGGTTTGTTGGAGCAGGGCTGGAACTGAAGTCGACAGGAAATTAGCTCTCCAGGAGCAGGATTGGAGACCCCTGGTTTAGAGAGTTTCTGTAGTATATTGAAACTCCTATTTGCTATAAAAATGAAAAATAATTACCATATTTAGGTGGTTTTGCCCCAGTCCCATATCCTGTGAAAATATGAAATCTGCTTTTACTTTGGGTAAAAAAGCATCTATACAAATACACATCTGAGAAAATCTATCCATCATTCTGTGACTGGCGAAAAATCATCCACTTCTGGGACCAGTTCCTCGCTACTGTCTGAATATCATGGGAATTGAACTCTGCTGGTTTGAGTTCTATTGTTCCTCATATTTTTATCTTTTCAGAATACCTTAGAGTGAAAGGGTTTCTTAGTCGCATCAGTTAACTACTGGTGTACCTCAGGGTCTGGTTCTTGGCCCCCTCCACTTCTTGATATACACAACTACACTGGCACCTATCATCCAGGTAGATTTTTTTCCTCATAACATAAAGACATGCAGACATGCAGTCTTATGATCACAAAGTGACTGCATCTTTACTTGCCTCAGCCTGGATTCAACTACACCATCTTCAACTAGTGCTCCAACTACACCAACTCCAGCTGAAGACTGAGCTTCTGGTCTTCCTGGCAAGTCCAGTGCAACACCATCATTATTCATCTAGGCTCATCAACAATATGAGGTAGCTTTACTACAAAAGGAAGATCAGACCCTTCCTATCTGAAGATCCTACCCTTTCTATGCAGCGGTGCATTTGAAGTTCAGTGAACCAAAGAGAGAGACTGCATGTTACACCTCGTCTCACTACATGGGATACCATTCTCTGTCTGCATCAAGTCAAGGCTCGGCTGCATAGCTACTAACTTGTATATTTCTGAGCAAGTTTAGAACACAGCAAGAATTACAGCACATCATGTTGTCTCATCAGGGTTAATGTTGTTGTGTACTGGCTGTATATTTGGAAATGTAATACTTTACCTCCATATCCAGTTCCTATTCCAACTCCACCTGGGACTCCACCAGCTCCACCCAAACCTGATGACAACAATGACACAAGGAAGGACATATTATCATAACTTGTATATTCTGGAGCGATGGAATATCATTAAACGTTGCAGGGCATTAAAGTGCCACATGTTTTGGTAAAAGTAGACAAGAGTGAAAATGAAAACATGTTCAGCAAAATTATCTGATTTCATATTTTAAACAGTCACAGACTCTTCAAAAGAGGTCCATTCTCTAACTGGCAAACTAAAAAATATGCATTGGAAAATGTTAGTAAACTAAAATTTTATAAATGAAAATTTATTGATAAACCATTTCCAAATCTCAAGTCTATAATTGCTCCTTAGAACTTGCATGTCTACCCATTTTTACTAGTCAGCCGACAAAGGTAGTCAACAAACCATCTTACACGTCTGCAGTGGAACTATAGTTTGCTTATACTGCTTCGGTTTCACCTTATTTCCACTTTATGTAATTCCTAATGTCTAATTTGCTGATTACAAATCACAAACATTCCACAGAACTAAACAAATAATGCTGATTTGCACACCTGTATAGTTTAGGAGGTTCATTTGTTACACCTGAACCTAACAATCAGGGGCTGTTTTTTTTATTTTTTTATACCTTATTTAGGGGTCCGGCCCCAGTTCTATTCCCATAGACTACAAAACAAAAAGTGGTGCCAGTTCTTTCACAGCAGCAAGCTTATTTTGAGTAAAGCAACATATTAATAAGACAAACATGCTTGGTCAATTTTTCAGTCCATTGAACACGAGCTACATTTTTAAACATTTTCAAACATTCAAGAACAATCTGTTTCAAGGAACATGTTTACAGTACACAAATTGATTTATGTCTTTAAAGCCAGCCAAAAGTAATTTAACAGGCTTTTTGATTTGGGGTTGCAACAGACTCTTCAAATATTAAATAGAAAAATGTTTGTACATGGCTAGGCAAAATCAAAAACAGTGTAAACCAGGAAAGATTACTGAAGAAAAAAAAAAGAAAGAAATCCAAGCAGTTTCTAAATGAAAACACTGATTACCTAAATTCAAACTCAATGTCTTTTGTTTTTTGCTTTAATAAGCATATTTACTCACAATATAAAGAGCTGTTATAGTCATTATAGCTCTGCTCATTGAAAGGCATTTTTGCTTACCTATTCCAGGCACAACACCAGTCCCACCTGGTAAACCACCACCAGCACCCAAACCTGGACAATTTTTTTTGTCTTTTTATCCTCATTCCAAATGATCAGGAAAAGAGGAAATCAACAATAAAACAGGAGCTAAATTATTACTATATTACTATACTGTATAGTAGTAAAACGCATGTGAACAGTAGCCTACTTTTTGATCAGTTCATCAGTAATAT